TGTCAATTCAAGTCCTTTGTCCATTTCTTACTTAGATTATCTGGGGGCTTCTGTTGTTGAGTTATAGATGTTCTTTATATATTCTGGATATTAGTCCCTTAACAGATATGTATTCAACGAATACTTTTTTTACCATTTCATAGGTTGCCTCTGCACTGTTTATCATGTCCTTTGATGCACAGAAGTTTTACATTTTGACACAGTCCACTTGGTCTACTTTTACTTTTATTACCTGTGATTTTGGTGTCCATCCAGGAACTCCTTGCCAAATCCAACATCATAAAGCTTTTCTATTTTCTTCTAAGAGTCTTATCATTTTAGGTCTTATGTTTAGGTCTTTGATCATTTTAAGTCACTATTTGTATACGGTGCTAAGCGTTCAACTTCGTTCTTCTACATGTGGCTATCCAGTTTTCCCTGCACCATTTGTTGAAGAGGCTGTCCCTGCCCCACTGAACGGTCTTGGCATCCTTATTGAAAATCATTTAACCATATATGTGAGGGTTTATTTCTGGGGTCTCTCTTCTAGTCCATTGTTCTACATGTTTGTCTTTATGCCAGTATAATACTGTTGATTATTTTAGCTTTGTAGTGAGTTTTGAAATCAGAAAATTGAGAACTTCAACTTTGTTATCCTTTTTCAAGATTATTTTGGCTATTTGGGGTCCCTTGAGGTTCCATGTGCATCTTGGGATGGATTTTATATTTCTCTAAAAAATGCTGTTGGGCTCTTGACAGGGAATTGCATTAAATCTATAGATCACTGAATGAATGGGGGGAATCGGAGGGGGAGACGAACCATGAGACTATGGACTCTGAAAAACAAACAGGGTTCTAGAGGGGAGGGGGGTGGGAAGATGGGTTAGCCTGGTGATGGGTATTAAAGAGGGCACGTTCTGCATGGAGCACTGGGTGTTATACACAAACAATGAATCATGGAACACTACATCAAAAACTAATGATGTAATGTATGGTGATTAACATAATAAAATCTATAGATCACTTTGGGTAATACTGACATCTTAGTAACATTAAGATTTCCAGTCTATAAACATGGGATGTCTTTCCATTTATTTGTATCTTCTTTCAGTAATATTTTATAGTTTTCAGTTTATAAATCTTTAGCTTTCTTGGTTAAGTTCATTCTTTTTTTTTTTTGGTTAAGTTCATCCTTAAGTATTTCTCTTTGTGATGCTACTGCAAATGGAAATGGATCATTTTTTTAAGTGTTTTCTTAATTTCCTTTTTGTTCATTGTTAGTGTATACAAACACAACTGAATTCTGAGTGTCATCAGTTTTGTATCCTGCAACTTTGCTGAATTCATTTATTAGTTCTGTTTTATTTTGTGGAACTTTAGGATTTTCTATGTATACCATCACGTCATCTGTGAACAGACACAATTTTAATCCTCAATTCCTGTTGGAATGTCTTTTATTTCTTTTTCTTACCTACTTGCCCTGGTTGAGACTTCCCATAGTACTACATGTAATAAAAGTGGTGAAAGTGGACATCCTTGTTTCTGATCTTAAAGGAAAAGCTTTCAGGGGCGCCTGAGTGGCTCAGTCAGTTAAGCATCTGACTCTTGATCTCAGCTCAGGTGTTGATCTCAGGGATCAAGCCTACTTAAAAAAAAAAAAAGAAAAGCTTTTAGTCTTTCACCGTTGAGTATGATGTGATCTGTGGGTTCTTCATAGATGGCCTTTATTATATTAAGGTAGTTTCCCTCGGTCAGTTTGTTGAATGTTTTTATCATGAAAGGGTGTTGCATTTTGCCAAATGGTTTTTCTGCATCAATTGATATAATTATATCGTTTTATTTCCCTCCATCCTGTTTGAATAAACCTTTTTTCTTTATCCTCAGCCTAATAGTATTTGAAGAGGAAAAGAAGAAAAGATGAGCGCATTCACGAGACATTGTCGACCTCTTAATCCTCCTCCAATAGAAACCTCTCCTAAGCACATACATCCCATGGTACACATGGTTGCACAGTGAGTCCTACACCCAAGGCTCAGGACTGGCTGTTCAGAAAAATGCCAGACAACACAAATCTTATTCTGATACCAATTATAATGTGTGGGTTTTCCTCTCACAATACCAAGCAATTCTAGGATACCAGCTGGGGGTCCTACAGTTCAACTCAATTCAGACACTATCCACATAGAGACAGCATCAGGTCCGCTGCCTATGGGGTCAGTCCCAAAAGGCTGCCCTTCACTTCAGATGCCAATCACAAGTCCAGGGTATCCCCTGTGCTTCTGACTGACGGGCTAGAAATCAGAGGTTCCCATGACCCTTTCCCTTGAATTCCACTAATTTGCTAGAGTGAGTCACAGAACTAAGGAAAACAGTTTACTCATTAAGTTACCAACTTATTATAAAAGGATAGGACGCAGGGACAGCCCAATAGAATAGCTGCATCGGGCAAGGTATAGGGGAAAGGCAGGGAGCTTCCAGGTCCTCCCTGGATGTGCACCCTCCCAGCAGCTCCATGAGTTCACCAACCGGATGCTCTCTGAACCCTACTGTTTTGGGCTTTTATGGAGGCCTCATGACACAGGCATAACTGATGAAAACATTGGCCACTGGCAACTTAATTCAATCACCAGCCTCTCCCAGGAGAAGGGGGGGGCACAATGAAGGGGGGGATCAGGTGGGGGGTGGGTAGGCCTCAGAGTTCCAACCCCTCTAACTGCATGGTTGGTTCTCCCCATCCTTAGGTTACCTAGGGTTTTTCCAAAAGTCGCCTCATTAACAGCAAAATACACCTTTACCATTCCCATCACTTAGTAAATTCCAAGGATTTTAGGAGCTCTGCCAGAAACTCAGGTGAAGACCAAACTATTTTTTACTATAAGTCACAATATGGTGACATGACTTTCAGCTGTTCCCGGTACACAAAGAACCAAGACTTCAATCAGAACAGGTTTATTTTTAAAATATCAAACAAAATGATCATACAAAACTGCCTAGAACAAGGGGATAAAGGGATCCTGTTTACTGAATATCACATATCACTGAAAATCCCTCCCTGAGCAAGCGGCATAGGATGCATACTCCCTAGCGGTTTGCAGGGAGCTCGTCACCTGGGTTAGTGAGTGTGGCCTGGGTGTGGATTCAGGATGCACGAAGCGTGTTGTCCCCTGAGAGGAGCATGTGCTTAAGCTCTCCCCGAGATTTCCCAGTGGTGCTCTCTCCCTTGAAATAATAATGGACCTCCTTGTTCTCTTCCCAGACATCTTGGTTAGTTAAGATTGTCTCTGTAACTAGAAGTTATAAAATATTCTCGAAAGCCGCCATATCCACCATGTTTTTGATGGCGTCGGAGAAACACTCCATTTGTGACAGCAATGCCCAGACTTCGATGATAACAATGCACAACTGTGCTACTGGGGGAATGAAAGGAGATACGCATGAGCAGGGAGCCTCTTTTCCCCTAGGACTGACTTTGAAGCCGTGGGAGTAGCTGCCAGATTCTATTGTCACTTAGAGTGCCCTACAAACAGCTCTCAACTGACAAAGAGCTGCTTGGCTTATGAACAGCAGTGCCAAGGTGAAGGGACAACAGTTTGGAAGGCCGGCACCCTCATCAAAGGACGTAAAAACGAACCAGTCCGGTGGGCTGAACTGCACACCCTTTTCTCAGCAGTAATAGAAGACTTGAACAGAACAAGAGTCCATCTGTCTGGGTTTTTTGACTCAGGGGTTGTGGCCAGTGGCCCGGCCAGTCAGGCAAATGGCACTGGAAAGCTGGCCTACGAAAGGGATGCCCGTGTGCGGCCCAGCCCTGTGGAAATCACTATGGGAACTGGAGGGGGGCCTGAGAATAGGACACAACAATGCCCATCGGTAGAAATGCCTTCCATGTTTGGAAGGGGATTGGCATCGGCCCAGGGTCCTCCTCACTCCGGGTGGCCTCCTGGGCACACGAGTGGACGTGGGGGTTCTGTAGCAACGTAGAAATGTGCTGAATCTTGACAAGGCCCCCTCGCACCCACGGCAGCACAAAATGCCTACAAGAACTGTTCTGTCTGCCCACACGAGAGAGCCTGCAGATAGCTCCATGGCAGCCTCTCTGGTGGAAACAGACTGGGAATCTGAACAGGCTTTGGTTACCTGGTGGTACACGCAGACGCCCAGAGTGCTGTAAAAGAACCACAGTGGAACCTGCAACCGTGTGGACCCGAGTCCCATTCCCTCAGACCAGGACACACACTGATAGCCCATGATGCCCAACAACCAGCCGAGAGCTCTCCTCCGCAGAGGAACAGCTCAATAGGAAACTGCGATGGGCCTTGGAAACCCTGGCTGTTGAAAACCGGGGGAGACAGGGCCTGAGAGGCAGTAAGTGGGCTGGTAAGTGCAGGTAACTACTGACAAAAGGACCAGGGTTCCTGGGTGTCCCCTCTGGTAGACCCAACGCTTTCCACACATGAATGGGGGATAAAGTGGTCAGGGGTGGGAGAGAAGTCTCTGGAACTCTGATCCAGGAGCTCCGTGGGAAGCCCCAGAACCGGCTGTGAACGGACGCAGAGACTGGGAATGTGCGGGCTGACAGGATTATGGGTGAAGTGTGCACAGAGACTGGAACGTTCCCACAGGCTTGACGGGAAGAGCTGGTGGCCATTAGTGCCTGTTTCGTGGGCACGACTATTGCGTCTCCCTAGGGAGCGCTTCCCCTGCCCGCAACTGTCAATCCAAACCCGCTGGGGAGGCCCGCTGAGGAGTGCAAGGGCCGGCGGGGCAAAGGCGGAAGCTGGACAAGAACAGCCTGCATGTTTGAGTGGCCTTAGCAACAGTGGCTGCGTCTCTTTTACTCAGACGCATGTCAATGGATACCGTGCCTCTCTGGGGAACGTTCCTGTACCCAGTACCGTAACACAGGCTTGTAAACGGGAACCAGCCAACGTCAATGCAGGCACGCTACCTGGGAAGCACCCAGATGGCCGGAGCCCATGCAGTGTAGACAGGAGCTGGAGGGCTGATACTCTGTGCCATACTCGGCATGGGGTGTAGACCAGAGCCTGTCAGCGCCTCCAGCAACAGCACTGGGACTCTGGACTGGGTGGAGAGCTTCCACCGGAGGGCCAACTCCGAACTTGCTGAAGGAAAGTAAAGGGACAAGCACCCCGTGACTGAAGGACATGAAATCCCCATGCAAGTGAAACACTCACAATGTCTCAGAGGTCCCAAGGCTTAGGAGCAGCTGTTCAGAAGAACTTAAAACAACACGAGCCTTCTCCTGGTCCCTGACATAGCAACCAAGGCTCAAATGCACAAGTTTTATTCTTTAAATATTAAGTGATACGCTCATACAAAAACAGCTACATTGCCAAACTAGTGTCTAAAGTGCTTGAGTTCCCAGAGCGTCACACACGCGCCACCATGGCACACGTATGCCCTGAGCCAGGGGGAGGGGATGGGCTTTCTTCCCGGCGGTTTGCAAGGAGGTCCCCGCTTGTGAGGGGGGGACACAGCTTGCGTGTAGACTCACACCACATGTGGCTCACCGGCGCCCAACAGGAGTGGCGTCCCGACCTCTCCCGGGGCCTCCCCACAGGCGCCCTCTTGACTGAAGTACCACCGGCTGGGGGCCTCCAGGCCCTGGGCTTCTTCCCAGACCTCTTGGTTGATTAAGGCCGCCTCTTTACTTGCCTCGGCAGAGAGTTCCAGCACCTGGGCGAAGCTCCTACAGAAACGAAAGAATGGATGAAGCCTTTTAGCCCTCTGTGCTCAGGAGCCAGAGAGAACCAGGGGGGCTTCGGCCTCCGCAGCTGCGATGTGGGGAAGGGGGCTGCTTCCTGTGTGCTCTTGGGAAAGCGCGGACAACTAAGAACAGAACAAATCTGAGCAGAACTCAGAGAGGCCTGCAAGAACAGGACCGGGCAGGCGCGAAAGAAGATTCGTTCATTCACCAAATATTTAGGGAACACCCACACCGCGTCAGGAACCATGCCATGAATGGACGGGTGGCCCTCACACAGTATAAACAGTGGCGGGGAAACACACACTGAAGGAGCGTGTCTGGCCAGCCGAACGTGGGACCCTTGTAATCTGGAACCTCTGATGCGTGCTGAGTTCATCTGAAGGTGCACACGGAAGGAAACGTCATAGTAGGTGGCAGCTCTTTTTTACGAGTAACTTTCAAATGCTTTAGATATTTCAGGAAGCACATTCAGCATTACGAAGGAGAACAAAATGAGATTCTTTTAGGGAAGATGAGGAGGAAAGCCCCACAGTAAAAAAAAAAAAAAAAAAAACAACAACAACAACAAAAAAAACCCAGGGGAAAGCTTCAGCACTGAGAAAGGTGCCGAGGGGGCTTTCTGGGGGGAGCGGGCTGTGGGGTGCACTGTGGCCTGGGGGCTGCTTCCCTAGGGCACACGTTCGTGAAACCCATCAACTAAACTGTTAGGATCCATGCATTTTCTATATGTAATTATACTTCCAATAACAAGTTCCAAGAAGATCACCCCAAGCCCTTAACCCAGGAAACGTTTCAAGCACGAGCAGACCCATCCAAGGGCACCGGAAGGGCTTTGACTCTGGGCAAGTACAGGACGGGTGACGCTAGAGCCCCCTTTCTATCGTGGCTGCTTGAGAACAGACATGGGGGTTTGGGCTGAGTTCAAGGTGCTTTCTCCAGTCCCCTCTCCCTACCGCAGCGGACCCCTGCACCCCCAGCCTCTGAAAACACCAGAGCTGCCCCCTCTCTGGAGCACGACCCACTGCTCCCAACTTCAAATCTTTTCTGCAATACCTTCGGAGCTCCAGATCCTTCTTTTGGGTTGTTTCCTTGAGTTCGCTCAGCAGGTCCAGAGCTTTCCCGTTTTCTTCTAAACTGCCGATCCCCAGTTCTTCCAGCAGATGGCATGTGGTCATCAACTCCCGCTGCAAATTGTCTGGAGGGAGAAAGGGACGGTCAGCCAGGGTTTCACGGTGCCCCAAGCAAGGGATGCGCAAGTCGGGCAGCTGACTGGATTTTTCTTGTTCCCTGGAATGCTTGCGTGTTATGCTGGAATCGTGAAGAGCTCAAAGGCAGAGAGGGTCGTGGAGGACAACCTTCATGTGCTGGTACCACCTCTATGCCCCTGTGCTGGAGCCCACAAACGCCTGAGACCGTGGATCAGGCATGTCCACCAGCCGGGCAGTCGCTGGAACGGGCCCAGAAGGCCACTTCGACGTCCTCAACAGAAACCAATGCAAAAGGCCAAGGAAGTCTGTCCTGCGAGCAGTTTAAAAACAAGCCCGTGGTTCCCACTCCGTGTTCCTGGCAGCTCTGCACCCCTCACCCCTGAGAGCATGGCTTGCATCTAAGGAAACCGGCAGCTCTCCACTTCCAGCACATGCCACGCCTATACACACGATGCATGACAACTGGACACCGTAACATTTTGAGAACATTACAAGGGTTCTTCCACAAACACCCATTCTCTTCTACTCCTCGTTCTGGTCTCCACTGCCTCCTCCCACAAAGACACGGTCAGGACCTAATCTCAAGTACCTGCAAACGTGACCTTACTGGACGTGGAGTGGAGTCTTTGTCGACATCACTAGGTTACAGTGAGGTCTGTGACCTGGCATCCTTCTGAGAAGAGGGCAATTCGGAAGCAGCGGCGCTCAAGGGCAAGGCCATGTGAAGACACAGGCAGACTGGAGCGACGCCACCACCAGCCAAGGAATGCCAAGAACGGGGAGCAACACCGGGAGCCGGGAGAGAGGCACAGAACACATATTCCCTCAGAGCCTCCAGAAAGGTCCACCCCTGCTGACACCCTGATTTTGGACTGCGGGACTCCTGAACTGAAGGGAATAAACTTCTGGTGTTTTGAGCTACCCAGTCTGTCATTAATTATAGAAGCCGTGGGACTTTCCTGCGCTCCCTGATCCCAACTCCTAGCCACCACCTATGGCACTTGTCAGGGACGGAGTCCAAGAGTCGCAGGTGTGCAGCTGATTGCTGTCACTATAAAAATGGACGCCTGCACGCAGGTAATCGCTCCACAAGGCTCATTCTTCAAGACTCCATGTGATTCCCATACTTATCCATACTGGGAAGAGGTGGGTCAGAAATCATCTCTGAGATTGCCAATACAACAACAGCCTTTGTGATCCTGAACTGCGTTTGTGGAAAGTTCTGGAGGGACTGTCCACCTGATTTTAGGTGGCGATGCTTTACTACATCAGCCTCAAACTAGACGTATGTAGATGGCTCATGAGGGCCCTGCCTGGAAATAACCAGACACTAGGGCGACTGAAAACTTGCTTTGGGAAGATACTTCCTCTAAAGAGAGTTTTAAGATCAAGCATGCTTGCTGATTTCTTCCCATGAAGGATTAGGTGGGAACCCTATGCAAGAGAGGGATCCCACGGCTCTGTGTAGCGGGCAGGACGGGGTTGAGGCGCCTGGCTGGCTCAGTCGCTGGAATGTGTGACTCTTGATCTTGAGTTTGTGACTTTGAGCCTTATGATGGGTGTAGAGATTACTTAAAAATAAAATCTTAAAAAGAAAAGAAGAAAAAAGAAAGCTGGATGGAGTCAAGATCAGCATCTCTGAAGAGACTGAACTGAAGGGAATAAACCCCCCCTTTGGGGGAGTGCACCTGCTCCCCAGGAGTGTCTTTCAGCAGGGCTGGAAATTACTGGGCCGGTCCACAGACCTGGCTTAAAATCCCAGCATGATCCTTACTCAGAGCGTGACCCCAGACAAACCGCAGCCTTGCCAGCCTCCCTTGTCCTCTGCCATTTGATAAGGGATGCACCATCTACCTCAGAGGAGGCTGTGATGTGACACAGATGGATAAAGGTGGCTGGCACACAAGAAGCACTGACTCACACTGGATCTGCCCCTTGCCCGGCAGCTGCCCCGTTTCCTACCTAAGAAACTCTGCCCGTCCCCGTCCAGGTGGACCGATTTCACGGGAAGCTCGTGCCTTGTGGTGTCCAGGGCCGTGGCGAATGTCTTGTACTGCTCCTTAAAGCGTTCAGCCACAGCCTCATAGGGGCTGAGCATTTCGATCTGCATGCAGGAGTGAAAGAGGTTTATGAGACAAGACCCAGTCACGCACTCGGGAAGTTCACAGTACCTGTGAGGTGAAAATACAGCGCTGTGCTTTCAGGATCTCCTAAGGAATCCTCCAGGAGGGTTCCATGGGTATGGCGGGCTCTCCCCTCACTCCCAGCTGCCCTCCAATAGCCCAGCTGATAGCAAGGTGGCCCAGGCCTCTTCACTAGGAACATGGCTTCCAGAACATTCCAGGGCCAGGCCCTCAAGGGGGATCACACTGGACCCAAGAGAGCTGGGCCCTCCTGCTTCAGAGCACTGAGCCAAAAGGCCTGCCCCTCGTAAGACCACCCCCTTTCCCCTTGTACATGCTGTTAGGGTCCTCATGTGGGCACATATTTGTTCACTTGTCTTTTCTTTTCCTTCCACTCTAAGTTCCATGAGGACAGAGACCTGCTCTTAGCCCAGGGCCTGGCTGCAGGGCATTCTTTTTAACACACACACACACACACACACACACACGGCATTCTTTTTAACACACACACACACGGCATTCTTTTTAACACACACACACAGCATTCTTTTTAACACACACACACACACACGGCATTCTTTTTAACACACACACACTGGGTATTAATGGGTTGAATCATGCCTCCCCAAATTCCTCTGTAGATGTCCCAACCCCCAGCACCTCAGAATATGACCTGACTTGGAGACAGAGTCTTTACAGAAGTAACCGACTTAAGGTTCAAGTGAGCCAGGTCTGGAGACAGAGAAGCACCCAGGGAGAATGCCAAGTGAAGGGACACAGGGAGGAGATGGCCCTCTAGAGGCCAAGGACAGAGGCCGAAGACAAAGCCTTCTCTCCTGGCCCTGGTAAGGCACCACATGCGCTAACCTCTTGGTCTCAGATGTCCTGCCTCCACAACCGTGAGAGAATCCCGTGCCATCGTTTAAGCCGCCCGGCCCTGGGGTACTTGTTACGGCAGCCCTAGTACCCTCGCACACTTGGAGGACCAGCCCCATCTCCTGACGGGCCCTCTCCAGGTGCCAGGGGTCGGCTCTTGTCCCAACGCGGACCACGCGGTGCCAAGACGGCATCCGCCACCAGCACCCTGGCCCCATGGGGAGGCATGGCTCACATCTTTGCGTCACTGAGCACAAGCCTCAGGGGCCTGAAGAATATGCGCATGCGTGCATGGAAGGGGCAGGTCCCTCTGGCTGCTCAGTACTTGACATTACAGCCTCGTCCTCTTACAGACTGTCACATACCAACATCCAGGCGGCAGGGACACCTCCCATCAGAACTCCCTCTGACTGCCCTGCCGGGTGCACCCCCTCCCAGGACACGCAGCGCGGAGACCTGAGCGTCAAGGACGTCTGCTAGTTCCCGCTTCCTCTGAGTGAGGAGATGTTTGCGCTTCAGCTCGTGGGCCTTCTTCTGTAGCTTCTCCTTCTCTTTACACATTATTAATAAGTTCCTCTCTGCCTTTTGTTCGAACGGAGCGAGACCGTTCTCCATCTGTCAAGTGCACAACAGGAGCTCAGACCAGCGGGCACTCCACCCCTGAGGCTGACAAAGGCTGCCCTCCCACCCACGTCACACGCCAGCAAGGTTCTGTCTTCACCTTTACAGTCAGCAGGGTCAGGAGCAACGTCTGGGATTCCATCATTTCCATTGCCTCCGACAGGTCCTTGAGGAGGAGAAAAAGACATTTTTGGTTGCCAGTGAATTGGTATAAACCTAGCTCTCTCCCCCGGAGGGGCAGAAGCTGAACCTTTATGAACTTTACTTAATTCAGTGGTTTGATGATTCTCTCCTGTGTATCAACCCGCTGTTTCTATTTTCTCCTTTAGTCTTCTTGGGCGCCCTGTGAGAAGGAAGGGGATGGTCCGGCCCCCTCCTGTGGCTGGCTGGTCCAGGGTCAGCTGGGGGGTACCCATCCAATCAGTGCCACACTGGAGCCAGGACGCGGGCCTCCGACCCCAGCGAGACCGCAGCCCAGCTGTCCTGCCGCGGGACCCAGGGCCTGGCCTAGTGCTTTCCCTAGCACAGCATCAGCAAACGAGGCACTGTTGTTCACATGATCTCCCCTTGGTAACGACTCCTGTACATGTATTTGGGGCAACTTAAACTCTGTATATTCTGAGGACGTGCGTGGTCTTGGGTTTGTTCTAGAACGCGTGGCTGGCTTGTTCCATCTTAGAGCCTCGAGCCTTGCACGGCATGTGCACAGGGCAGAAGCTAATATCAGGCGTCTCTAATTCCACAGCTTCCCTTTCATTTCGGACACTTACCGGGCTCTTTCTCTGTGAAGAAGAAAATGACGATGACTCAGTCTTCTTCGACATCGTTTTTTCTAATTGCGGAGTCTTTCTAACCATACTTTTGTCTAAGATCAAGAAAGCATTTTGAGGGTGAGAACTCAGAGCACGCTTCGGCAGCCCGCCAAGACACACCGCAAGCCCCATCTGCGGAAAAGCGGGGGGCAGTGGGGGGGGCCAAGGTGAATGATTTACCATTGATGGCTGAGAGGTCCAGGTCCGGCGGGGCGGTGCCATGCCCTTCCAGCAACGTGGACTGCAGGTCACCCTTCCCGATTCCACTGCTGTCTGTGGACCCAGTGAGAATCCCCAGAGGTCAGCACAGTCTGCAAGGCACTGCACGCCTACCCCGGGAAGCAGGTAACTCTGTGGAACACTACCACTTGCTTCCAAAAAGTCAGCGTCTTGGGAGGTGAGCGGGACAGAAGGCTGAAGCACCTCTGCAAATGCCCAGCCAGCAAGGTGAATATATTTCAGAGTAGAAGCAGACAAGTGACGCAGGCTCTCTAACCCAGAGATGCAAATATGCCTTGCTGCTTAGCTTAATAAAAAACGCTATGTTCTGGATAGAAGTCTGATACACACCATGTAGCTGTTCTTCCCTCAGCTTTTCCCTTCTTTTTCCAGAAGCTTCTGGACTGTTCATCTTCCCTGGCAGTTCCCTTCATCTTTACCCTCTATTTAACCATGTGAAGTTATGCCTGACGCCACCTGAAATGGGCAATGGGGTACGGTGGGCTTCAACCAAGCCAGGGCTCCAGCAGGCCGCAAAACGAACAGATGGCATGCAAAATACTCTGTCGTGTTAGCAAAGAAACAGCAAGTGATTTAATGAATGCCCATGCAGTTGAGAAAATGAGTATGTGGAAATAAATAGAGCGACACCACGGTAATGTGTACAGTATGGTACCCTTCGTCCGAATTTTTGAAAAATTCTAGATAAACAGGAGTCTACTGACCTCCTGGGTAAGAGGACGGAAACCTGAGGTGGGAGACAGGACTTTTTTTTTTATTGCTATCGCTTTTGCACGGGTCAGATGTTCCGTCATGCGCATGTACAGTGTTTCCATCAAGAAAAGTAATTTCCTACTGAGCTATACAATGGTACTCAATCAAGCAGCCTCTGGTGGTTCCATCTCAATTCTGGTGGTTACGTTTAAATTAGGGTTTCTCAGCTCTGACGCTACTGACATCTGGAGCTGCATCACTCTCTGGGACGGGGCTGTGCTGGCTGTGGCAGGCTGCCGAGGAGCATCCCCGGCCTCCACCCATCAGACGCAAGTGGCATACCTCCCCCACCCCTCACAACAACCAAACGTGTCCAGACATTTCTAAGTATGAATTGCCTGCGGGTGAGAACCCTGATTTTAAAATGTGGCTGACCCAACTTCAGATCCCTCTGGGCTGAACATCAGCTTTCCCGGCTTGACATGTGGCCCCCAACCCAACTGCAGAAGGAAAGACTACAAAGTCAGCCCCAGCTCCATGAGCCACTTCTCAGTCACACCTAGGTCAAGGAGCAGCACAGATGCTGAGCAAACATCTAAACCATGATCAACAACTTTCCAATCCCCGACTAACAGTCTCCCAATTGATTGGAGCCCCTACTGAGAACATAAAGTCAATTAACATATATTTTACATGTTACATATACTATAAACTGTACTCTTATAACAAAGTAAACCAAAAAAAAAAAGGAAACGTTAAGGAAATCATAAGAGAAAATACATTTACAGTACCGTACTGTAAAAAAAAACCCACATATTAATAGATCCATGCAGTTCAGACCCATGTTGTTCAATGGTCCACTGTACTTAATTTTTCCTATGAGACTCACAGTTGTTGCCATTTTGAACAAGGAGGTGTGGGACAAGAAACAGTTTTGCTTTTTGTAAACTGCTTTCATGCAAAAGAGCTACCCGGTGTTGCTGGAGAAGTGGGCATGTGAGGAGCTGGATGGAGTGCTACTCTGGGGAGGGGCCTTCCCAGATTTCTAGGATGAGCACACTGACTACAACTGAACACCAAATACACCGTAATGATCGAAGTGGCAGCTCATGAGTGAGCGTCCACCCTCCTTGTCTACATTTTCTGTTTTTTGTTGTTGTTTTTTGCTTTACAACAAACACATATGTCTACAATCAGAAAAACTCCCAAATTTTGCCTATCACTTTGGTGACAGCTTCTAGAACGATTAAGGGGAAACCATTACGAGGAAGATCTAACCCAAGGTGGTGAGAGGCAGGAAGATGAAGCCTCACACCCTCTCTGAGTCCTGCTCTCAGAGTTCCACCCAGGAAATGGGACGCACGATCGAGGAAGCGCCATGATGGCCGCTCAGGAAGTAACCTGCCCTCTCGCCCTGCCATCCCCCTTAAGCTCCCCACATGCCTCAGATCTGTCCTTACATGGACATTCTTTAACTAGCTCCTTCTTCTGACACTTCCTAGAAAGAAAGAGGGAGTTTCACCTTAGCATACTTGAAAACAAAATTCACCACCGTGTTCATCACTTGCTGAGCTTCAGAGCTATTTCACAACCTCCCTCCATCTTTACACACCTTTGCTCTTCTGGAGCAGTTGGAGTTTCCTTCCCCCTTCCGGCATCTTCCCACTGGTCTTTAATGCATCTGCTGCAGAAGCCTGTTAGAAGAACACATGACATTCAGGATTCAGGGGACAAGACACCTCCTCTTCATGAGAAGGGACCCCTTCATGGCCTGTGCAGTTTGCATCGGCTATTACTTTGAGGCCAGGGATAGACTTAAAGTTCTGACATTTAATTACATATATATAGAACAAATTAATCAAAAAAGATATCCTCACATGCATAGAACATAGGGAACCACCAAAATGTTTGCCAGTGATTATCTGACAATGCAGATTCCAACTGATTTTCTGTATACTTTAGAGTACTTGCAGGGAACATATTACTTTGGTCATCAAGAGAAACAAAGTTTTTGTACAAGTATCAATCTTTAAAATTTATTTTAAAAAACAAGCAATGCATGGAGCTAGCAAGCCATTATAATAATAGTAACATATGAACAGAAAGAAAACCTCATAAAGAGCAAGAATATTTTAATATGTAGACAACACTCCTATTCAACCTCCTACTGGAGGTCTCAGAATAAGAAATAAAAGGCAAACAGGTTGAAAAGGAAGAAATAAAACTCTCTTCTTACATGATTTACAAAGAAAATCCCAAATGCTACTAAAACTAGTAAGTAAGGGGCGCCTGGGTGGTTCAGTCAGTTAAGCATTCCATTCCTGATTTCGGCTCAGGTCATGATCTCAGGGTCGTGAGATCAAGCCCTGCTTGGAGCTCGGTGCTCAGCAGAGTACACTTGAGAGTCTCGCTCTCCCTTTCCCTCTGCCCCTCGCCTTCACTTGTGTGCATGCATGCACGCACTCCCTAAATAAATAAATAAATAAAATCTTTAAAAAACCAAATTAGTGAGTTTAGCACGACTGGAGGATACAGGGTCAATATAAAAAGATCACATTTCTAGCAATGAACAACTCTGGAAAGTGAAATTCAAAGATAGTACCATGTGAAAGCTCTCAGCAAGGAAAAAACAAAACTATGTATGGTGTTAGGTGTTAACTAGACTCACTGTGGTGATTATTTTGCAACATATACAAATCCTGAAACACTATGTTATATGTCTGAAATATATTGTTGTATGTTGATCATACCTCAATTAAAAAATGTATTCATCAATAAAAAAGAAAAAAAAGACAGTATCACGTATATTAGCATTTAAAAACAGCAAATACTTAAGTATAAACCGAAGAAAATATAGGGAAGATCTATACGCTGGAAACTACAAAATGCTGATGACAGAACTCCAACACGACCAACTAAATGGATACATGTACCATGTTCATAGATTGAAAGGCCTGGTGTTTTTAGGATGTTATTCTCCCTAAACCGATGCAAAGATTCTATACATTCAAAATCCCAGTAGAAATTTTGGTAGAAAATGGCAAGCTAAGTCTAAATCATAAAGAAAATTAAAAGAACGGGTCATGATCTCAGGATCATGAGATCAAGCCCTGCGTCAAGCTCTGCACTGAGCGTGGAACCTGCTTAAGATTCTCTCTCCTGAGGCATCTGGGTGGCTCAGTTGTTAAGCATCTGCCTTCGGCTCAGGTCATGATCCCAGGGTCCTGGGATCGAGCCCCGCATCGCATCGGGCTCCCTGCTCAGCAGGAAGCCTGCTTCTCCCTCTCCCACTCCCCCTGCTTGTGTTCCTGCTCTCGCTCGCTCTCTGTCAAATAAATAAATAAAATCTTTAAAAAAAAAAAAAAAAAAGATTCTCTCTCCTCCAGGGCGCCTGGGTGGCTCAGTTGGTTAAGCATCTACCTTCAGCTTGGGTCATGATCCATGACCTGGGGTCCTGGGATGGAGTCTAGAGTTGCCGGGCTCCCTGAACAGGGGGGAATCTGTTTCTCCCTCTCCCTCTGCTCCTCTCCCCCTTCTGCTCATACCCTCTCATGCTCATTTCTCTCTCAAATAATAAAATCTTAAAAAAAAAAAATTATCTCTCCTCCCTCTCCCTCTGCCCCTCCCGGCTTGCATGTGTGCGCGCTTCTTCTCACTCTAAGGAAAAAAAAAAAAAGAAAGAAAAGCAAAGGAACTATGACAGCCAGTTTTGGAAAAGAATGGAGTGGGAGAATTCATACTACCTGATTTCAAGACTATAAAGCTACAGTAATCTTCGCAGCGTGTGACGGGCCTAAGGACAGACACATAGAACAATGGAAAAAATGGAGTCCAGAAGTGATGCATACAAAAACGGTCAATTGCTTTTCAACGAAGGTGATGAGATAATATGACGGGGAAAGCAAAGTCATTTCAACAATGGTGCTGGCACAAGAGGACATCCATACACTTAAAAATGAACTTCAATTCCATCATCACACCAGACATAAAAATTAATTCAAAATGGATCACAGACCTAAATGTAAAATCTAAAACTATAAAAGAACTATAAAAACCATAGAAGAAAACATGGGAGAAAATCTTTGTGATCTTGGGTTAGGCAAAGATTTCTTAGATAAGACACCAAGAGCACAATCCATAAAAGCAGAAATCCATAAGTTGAGCACTTCTGCTCCTCCCAAGACACTTAAAAAGAAGTGTCACCGCCGGGAGAAAAATATTTAAAAATCACCATAAATGACTGGTATCCAGGATATATAAAAAGCTCTCAAAAAACTCAACAGTGAGGAAACCCATAACCCAATTAAAAAATGGCAAAAGAGGGGCGCCTGGGTGGCTCAGTCATTAAGGTCTGCCTTTGGCTCAGGTCCTGATCCCAAGGCCCTGGGATCGAGCCCTGCATCAGGCTCCCTGCTCAGCAGGAGGCCTGCTTCTCCCTCTCCCACTCCCCCTGCTTGTATTCCCTCTCTTGCTGTCTCTCTCTGTGTCAAATAAATAAAATCTTAAAAAAAAAAAAAAAAAAAAGGCAAAAGATTTTAAAGGACACATCACCAAAGACACAGGACTGGCCAATAAGCACATGAAAAGGTACTCAAGATCACTAGCTGTTATGGAAATGTAAATTAAAACCACAACAAGATACCACTTCTCATCCACTAGAATGGCTTCAGTCTTTTTTTTTTAAGATTTTTATTTAGTTATTTGACAGAGAGAGACAGCGAGAGAGTGCACACAAGCAGGGGGAGTGGGAGAGGGAGAAGCAGACCAGGACCCTGGGATCATGACCTGAGCCGAAGGCAGACGCCTAACAACTAAGCCACCCAGCTCTCCTCTGTGGCTGGTGGGAACGTCAAGAGCTGCAGCCACTCTGGGTAACAGCTGCACAGTTTCCTACAAGTCAGTCAAAACTACACTTACCCTACAGTTCCTCTCCTGGAAGAAATGAGAGCATGTCTACATAGAATCCCACACGAGAATGTTTAAGGTGGCTTGGATCACCATTGCCAAAGTAGAGAATCAGACCAAATGTTCTTCACTGGCAAATGGCTAAGCACACTATGGCCCACTCACACCCTGGAATATTCCTCAGCCACCAGAAGGAACGGGCACTAACTGTGACAGGCAACCACAGGGTGGGACCTCCTTTCCTTTATGTGAAAGAAGTCAGATGCAAGAGGCTGCATCCTGTGTGACACCTTTTTAATGACCTTCTGGAAAAGCAAAGCTAAAGGGACAGAAATCTGATAACTGCTGGGATGGGATGCTGGCTTCAGTGGAGAGCCAAGGGATCTTGGGGGTGACTATTCCGTATCTTGACTATGGTGGGTCTGTGACAGGATGAGTTTGTCAAAACTCGCAGAACTGTATGCTAAAGAGCAACACTTACTCTATGTAAATTCTACCTTAAGAGATGGGGAAAAAAAAAACGGACAAGCTCGTAGGGATCGAAAATACTAGAGCATGCAGACACACAGGGGTGCTCGTAAACAAGTTTACAAGGCAACACTAATATTAGGAGGCACGGACTGTGATCTTTTGTTGAAAATCAGTTCAACAAAGTAAATCACGTGAATTTAAAGAAAAAACAGAAACAAAAAAAGTAAAACACAGACTCTGGGTGATGTGTCAGTGTAGCTTCCTCAAATGTCCAAGTACACCTCTCTGGTTGGAGATGTTGATAGTGGGGGGGGGGGCTGTGTGGCGGGGGGCAGGGGTTATATGGGAAATCTCTGTACCTTCCACTCAATTTTGCTGTGAACCTAAAACTTCCCTAAAAAAAAAAAAAAAAGTCCAGGGGCACCTGGGTGGCTCAGTCAGTTAAGCATCCGACTAGCGACTTAGGCTCAGGTCATGATCTCAGGGTCGTGAGATGGAGCCCTGCGTAGGGTGTGGAGCCTGCTTAAGATTCTCTCTCTCCCTCTACCTCCCCCACCGCCCCCTCAAGTGCGCTCTCTCTAAAAAACAAAAATAATTTAAAAACTTAAAAAATTAACTCCATTGAAAACCACCAATCACTCCCAAGAAGTGATACCAGTTTGTGAAAAGGTTTCCTTTTTCCTCAAGTTGGATCTTAAGTCACATTACTATTTTTTAAAGTTTATTTATTTGTTTGCTTATTAAGTAATCTCTACACCCAATGTGGGGCTCAGACTCACGACCCCAAGATCAAGAGCAGCATGCTCTTCTGACTGAGCCAGCCAAGTGCCCCTTAAGTCACCTTATTAAGAACCTACCATTCCACCCTACCAGAGTAAAAAGTAGGGAGCAGAAATTAACAGTTCACTGAATTTTACCATAAACCAAATTTAGAAAATGGAAGGAATAACACAACCTCCCCACATTCTCAGTCTGCGCACAATCAAACAAGATAGGTAACTGGGTGCACCTACTGAGTGTTTCCGTTAAATACCACACAATGCATGTGTCGTTAAGTGCTTCATCCCATCATTTTCTTTTTTTTTTTTAAGTTTATTTTCTACTTTCTAGTCACAGCTTTTTTTTTTTTTAAGGTTTTTATTTATTTGTCAGAGAGAGAGCACGCACGAACACAAGCAGGGGGAGCAGCAGAAGGAGAAGCAGGCTCCTCACTGAGCAGGGAGCCTGACGCGGGGCTCAATCCCAGGACCCTGAGATCGTGACCCCAGCCGAAGGCAGACGCCCAACCAAGTGAGCCACCCAGGTGTCCCCATCCCATCATTTTCAACGGCTGCATGATTTTCGTGATGTGGCTACAGATAGCTCACTAAACTCTGCCTCTAACACTGGGTGATTCAGACCCTTCGTTTTTTCCCCATAGTCCTTCTTTAAAACCCTGTGTTTTTTAAATGCCAGCCAAGGCCAGGGACTGTGTGCTGGGCACCCAATAGAACTGCTTCAGGACAGAATCCAGAAAGGAATTATCGGGTTGAAAGGAACAATCTCAGGTTTCAATAGAGATCATGTCTTTGCAAAAGGGATTCGGGACCATGCTGTGCCCGGCCCGTGGGACTTGGGTCAGAATTCCAAGTCCGACAGAACTCCATTCAGAACATTCAAACCAACGTTGTTACCTTTTTGGTGGTTTTCTTCTCGTACTGCAAGTATCGGGACTCAACCACTCTTCCACCTGTGGGGGACACACTGTTGGTTTATAACAAGACTACAGTGGTGGAGTGTGAAGACCACCCCCCACCCCCCATCAAGAGCCAGGTACTATGCGCCCTCCCTGATCAACAGCAGGAACAGGGGAGCTGCTCCCCCTTGCTCCTCTCAGATCCTATGCTTCAGCGTCCTCGAGCTTGTATGGGACACCTACTGTATGCGAGAACATGTGGGATACCTATGGTTTATAAGTCCCTAGGCTAAGGACAGAGCCCCAGAGGGTCGCAGGAACGTTAAGGGAGTATGCTCAAAGCAGAAAGTGGATTCAGGGGCAGGGCAGGGAGAGGATAAGAACTTCCACGGTGGGGGGGCGGGGGGGACGCCTATTTGCCGCCTCCTCCTCCTCCCTTCCCAACTCACTCCCTGCAGTCAGGACCCCAACCACCCCTTCCTTCACTTCACCTGAGTCTGTGTATGACCTACTCATGATATGAGCCTTTCATGCCTCTTTACCTCCTTACCTAGCTCAGGACTCTCAGGAAACATGCTCAACGATAAGATCATATACCCTGGTGATAGCCCAGCCCCAGGTCCCCCCCATTCCATGCCTGCCTCACAGGAAGGGGGTTTCTCACAATGGCCCCAGTGATCACCCACAGTCCTCTGCTCTGTTCCCCAACCCCCCTCCCAGACACTCCCTTGTACGTTCTCCTCCCACTTCCCCCATATTGGGTCCCCTCCAGTTAGCTAGTGACCAGTTACTACTTCACCATGAAGACAGAAGCAGCCCCAGGAGACCCTCCCACCTCAGCATCTAGCAGCCTCCCAAGTTCAGGGCCATATCCTGGCCCCACCATGTGGAGGGAACTCTGTGCTTTGGGGTAGAGCCCAGCCCTCACCTCGTTGCCACGGCCCTGGCAAACCCCCTCCCCCAGTTCCCCTCCATCGATCTTCCTGTTCTTTTTCCCCCAACTATACCTTCTCCCCCTACTTCTCCACTCCCCTTGACAATGGTGGCTCGTCTTCCTCTACTCTCTCCTGAACCCCACTCCTGTCCGGTCTGGCTCTCACGATCACCACTGCACCAAAGAAACTCCTTTCTGCAAGACCGCCAAGATCTCCCTGCTCCAAAGCCCACCAACTCATTCTCATTCACATCCTGACACAGCACTTGCTGGAACCCTCCTCCCTGGAACATCCTGTGTCCTCCAGGTTGGCCACCCCGCTGGTGGCTGAGAATGGGCTCCCTTGCAGGTCCATGAGCTGGTGAAGCCTGAGCACCTCCAGGCACCTCACAGGTCTCACATCCCCAAGGGGCCTCCCTCTCCCCTCACGGCCCCCACTCTTTCTGTTCCAGGCACCGTGAGGGCCAGGACTTTTGTCTGTTTTGCTTGCGACTACGGTCCACCACCCAGCAGGGAGTAGGTGCTCAGCCATGCATCCAGTGCATAATTCTACACTTTTTCTAGGTACCTCTAGAGCTTAGGGCTTTCCCTTTTTAATGAAGAGACCCAGGAAGAAGACATGGTTAATGTCACACAGCTTGACAATTTGGTTAAGTGACACGGTGATTTCAACTGGATCTTCATGCCAGGATTTCACCTTTCACTGGGGCTGGGGGTGCGGCCACAATCCTGAGTGGAAGGAGGTGCATCCATAGTTAGTGGGGAGCATGGAGCTGGACAAGGAGCTAGTCGTTGCCCTGAGTGAGCCCCAGGCAAGGAAGAGCCATGCCTGCAGAGTGAGTGGGCTCAGACAATCAGGCAGGAGGCACTTAAGGATCAAGGCCAAGACCAGGTGCTGTCCAGGGGAGAAAATCAAGACACACAAAGGGTCTGCCCCTGGATGTCCAACGAGGGATCAGGGCAAAGAACACCCCCATTTCGAAGCACAGGAAACGATCTTGCTTTTAGCCTAATACGATCAGCAAAGGGTTTTGCTCCTCTGGAAGGATCCTGAGGCCTGGGGTTCCCTGGACGGGTGCAAAGCAGTTTCAAGTTTCCAGAAACTGGGACGTACATATTTGTTTTGAACAGTAGTGGATTTTCCAGAGAAGCAATGTTACGATGAAAGATTTAATTTGTGTTCAAGAACTAGACCACTTGTAAACACAATAGAGGTTATAAACAAGATCATCGGGGCGCCTGGGTGGCTCAGTTGGTTAAGCGACTGCCTTCAGCTCAGGTCATGATCCTGGAGTCCCGGGATCGAGTCCCACATCGGGCTCCCCGCTCAGCGGGGAGTCTGCCTCTCCCTCTGACCCTCCCCCCTCCCATGCTCTCTCTCTCATTCTCTCTCTCAAATAAATAGATAAATAAAATCTTAAAAAAAAAAAAATTTTTTTTAAAAAATAAACAAGATCATCAAGCAATGATGTCATGGATGAACCTCCAGTCACTTAGAACCAGAATTCTGCTCTACGTTCTCAGAGACACGCACTGGCATGCAGCATACTTGAAGAAAATAATTCTTTTTATCAGAGGCTTGAGCTCCAAGGAGGGAGATCCTTGAGTCCACTGCCCAAAGCGGCATTGCCAAGAGTCAAAGGAGGCTGTGAACAGTGACTCCAGACCCACAGGGAGACACCACATGCATGGGCACCCCTGAGGTGCTTCCAGAGAAGAAACTGAGACTCCAGGGTTTGCTAATGAATTCAGCTCCGGCTCTCCTCACCCATACTTCCTAGTGGTGAGTCCTGGGCACAGCCTGTGACCCCTGCTGCTGGAAGGGCCCACTGCTGCCCTGGATGACCTCCCCTAGGTCCTGCCACACCCCTGGCTGCAGGGCTGGGTGACCAGACTCAGAATCCCCAAAGGTGTGACTAGAAGGAAATAAAGCCCTAGCTCCCCTGCTCTGGCCTGGTTTTTTTCTTCCCCAAAAACACTTACTGAAACTGGATCGTAAACTGGATTCCAACTTTGCTCACCTTGTGTTCTTCTTCCTTTCATCTTAGCGCCACCAGGAGTACCGGGACCCCCCATGGAAGGTTTCCTAGAAGAGGGAGATAGGGGTCTTGTTGACATGGTGACGCAGTTGGCTAAGCCCAGGGAAGGCAGCAAGGAGACTGGGGACAACTCAGTCCCAGCACCCCCCCACCTCTCCCCATAAACGCTGATGTCTGCGAGGCAGGGCCACCTTGACTGGAACAGAGACACAGAGCCCCTGCCTGGTTGAAATTGAGAAGGGTCCAAGAGTGAGAAGAGCAAGCAGGTTTGCCAAGCCCCAAAGATCTCAACTTAAGTCAGGGGTTCATTAATGCATCGGGCATTTCTGTACCTACTATATGCTCCTGGTGATACCTGGTGAACAAGAGATGGAGCTCCTTCCCTGACAGGAGCTTCCCTTCACATTGCCTGACAGTGTTTCCTGTCAGGCAATGTGAAGAGTGCCCCAGACAGGTAAAGAGGTGAGGGGAGGTGAGAGACAAAGCCCCGTTTGCTCAGGTACATGGGGAAGGACATTCAGGGACAGGGAGCAACAAGGCCAAGGGCACAAGGGCAGAGGAGAATGATGTTGAAATAGGAACTGATCAGCCCTTTGGCTTCGCTGGCAGAGTTCTGACTTTCCAGCTGACGGGCTCAGCCTACCTAATGGCAATCTTTCTCTGTAAAGGACCAGACAACAGATATTTTCAGCTTTGTGAGCTGTATGTTCCTGCCAAGAAATAACAAACCCTGAGTGTTATTCAGCCCTAAAAAGAAGCAAAGTACTGATACATGCTAAGATGGATGAATCTCAAAAAATATTATCCTGGGATGGGGTGCCTGGGTGGCTCAGTCATTTAAGCATCTGACTCTTGATTTCGGCCTGGGTCATGATCTCAGCATCCTGAGATGGAGCCCTGAGGCAGAGTCTGCTTGAGATTCTCTCCCTCTGTCCCTCTCCCTGCTCGTTCTCTCTCTCTCTCTCTCTCTCAAATAAATAAATCTTAAAGAAAAAAAAAACTTAAAAAAAATATTATCCTGGGGGCATCTGGCTGGCTCCATCCATGGGACATGCAACTCTTGATCTTGGGGTCAGGAGTCTGAGCCCCACATTGCGGGTACAGTTTACTTAAAAAAATAAATAAAATCTCTTTAAAAAATTGTCCTGCATGAAAGAAAACAGACACATAAGGACACATATTGTACAATTCCATGTATCTGAAATGTCCACAACAGGCAAAATAAGACAAAAAGCAGATTGTGATTGTCAGGAGCAGAGGGGTGGATGAAGAATGGGGAGTGACTGAATATGGATACAAAGTTTCCTTCTGGGTGGATGAAAATGTTCTGGAACCAAACAGAGCTGGTGGTTGCACAGCATGAATGTCTTAAGGCCATTAGATCGCTCACTTTAAAATGCTGTTATGTGTTTCACCCCTATTTAAGGAAAGAAATAATGAAGTTCGATTTAATAGGAGAGAGGGAACCTTGAGGCAGGAGAGTTGGGAATGCCTCCCAGGTGTGCAGTCTGGGCAAGGGAGATGCTACCAACAGAGACCAGCAACTTGAGAGGAGCAGACTAAGGGGCAGGGCAGGGGCCTGAACGCTGTAACCCCTGCTGACATCAGGACACAAGCTCCACTGGTCACAAAGCAGTGGTCCCCTTGCTCAGCTCACTGCAGCCACCTCCTGTGCAGCAGGCTCTGAGGACCCCAAGTGAGACCCAGCGGGTGCTGAGCCACAGTGGGGAGAGGCAACCAACCAAATAATGCTCACTGGGTGCCAGCAGCTCTGCTCCTTCACAGAACCCTCCCAACCCTACAAATACCTCCCCACTGGCCTGCTTTATCCTTCTTTTCCGACGAGGACCTGAGTATTTGAACAGCTCATCCCTGGCAAGTCTCAGGGTTGGCAAGGGACAGAGCATGGATTCCCTATGGGGTCTGATCCAGGGCTCCGGAGCCCAACCAGATGGGGGTGGTGGGTTCACTACACCTGTGCCAGCCTCAGGTACCTCCCCCCAAAGCTCGGGAGAGGGTAATGGCAATCTCACAGCGTAATGGACCCTGGAGAAAACACAAGTGATTTCAGCTGGTCTATTAAACGTCAATTTGCACTGGCACAATAAAACATCGGCCGAGTGAACAGATAAAACAAACCCAGGCCAGGAATCATGCCTGGCACCGGATAAGTGGTCCAAGTCCGTCTCTCTTGTTCTTTCTGTGTGACCCTGGACAAATGACCTTGTCTCCCTGAGCCTCTATCATCTCTTCTGTGAAGGGAAAGCATAGAAAAGAAGGGTTGGGAGGATTAAAGGAGATACTTTAGTGGCCCAGCGCTTGCCCACTATAAAATGGTAACTGTAATCGCGACAGATCACATTCAAGAGCCACGCAGTGTTCTAAGAGCTTTTAAGTTTCACCCGAGGCCTACAAGGTTGAGCGGCGGCGTCATTGGCCCCGTTTCTCAGCGGAGCAAAGCGAAAGCACAGAGAGGTTAAGCCACTAGCCAGGGACAGCCCCGCACCCACACAACTGACTAGGGACTTGCAGTCTAGTTCCGCGCACAGGCTGCCGAGCATGCGCAGAAGCCGCCTCCCGCCTCCCAGAGCCAGTGCACCCTCGAGGGGGTCCTGAAGGGGTCAAATCCCCAATCCCTAACTCTGCTGCCCCGCTTCTCCCAGCTCTCGGCCATGGTCTACTCGCCGGCCCCACAAAATCCAGACCCGTGGCGCTTCAACTCACCCAGCTCCGCGTCCCGAGGAATCCGCCATTTCCCGCCTTTAGCTCAAAGGCCGGCTCTTCAAGGCCGGGTCCCCGCCCCCTCGCCCCGGGCCGGGCCATATTGCGCCGCCATGGGAGGGGTGGCCGCTGGCCTCGGGGAGCGTGCCTGCGGGTGGAGCGCGCGACCCCTGCGCGCGCGACTCTCTGTCTTCCCCTCACACTTGGTTTCATCCACCAGCGGCAGGAGGTGGTGTGGAGCCCGTTGGGAGGGGGCGGGTCTTCGCGGCGCTCCGCCCCGTTGCGCGCTGGCGTCACGCCCTGGCCCCGCCCCTCCGGAACCCGGAAGCGGGAGCGCGCGGGGGAGCGGCGGGCGCGGCGGGGCGGAGCGGCCCGACCAGTGGTGGGCGGTCGGGCGGGCGGCCGGGCGGGGACCCGGCCCGGGACCGGCGGCGCGCGGCGGCCGAGGCCCAGGTGAGTGGCGGCGGCCGCGGGTTGGGGGCTTGCTCTCGAAGCTCGCCTTGGCGGGTTGCCTTGTAGGCTACGGAGCTGAGGGTTAATGTTGGGAGGCGCTAAGGCTGGGGTCGAGGGAGCGGGAACGAGCTTGGGGGTCGTGAAGGGGTTGCTGGAGACGAGAGTGGGAGCGGGACGGTTAAGGAGAAAGTTGATGGAATGGGCCTGGTAAGGGGGTTTGCGGATGCAGAGGGAGCAGGTCTTGTGGCTTTGAGCGGCTTCTCTGAAGAGGACGTGGCTTTAGTGGTAGTTGGGGGTCGCAGGAAACGGGGCTGGGAGGGGGAAAGGCAAGGAGGCGGGGTTGAGAGGCCCAGGCGGGGGACGTGGGGCAAGGCCGGTGGGGGGACAGCCGGGGTGCGATTGGGGGAAGAGTTACAGGACGGCCTGGGGGCATCTGCCCTCGATTGAAGGGGTAGAGGAATGGCTCCTGGGGGAGAGAGGCGCCTGAGATTCTGTGGGTGTTAAGATTCTGGAGGTCCGAACCCACTGGTGTGGTGGCCGGCGGAATGGGGAAGGGGGCAATGGGAGAGGGGGAGAAAACTCATGGCGAGAACTGAGAGCCAGTTCAGGGGGGTGCTGAGGGGGAGAGGAAAGGACAAGGGTACAGACGTTGGGGTGCAACACATGGGATTTTGGGGCCCCCTTCCTCTCGATTCATCTGTTTCCTGACTTCACCCCCAGCTGCTGGGTAACCCCCCCCCCCCCCGGCGAGTCCCAGTGCCCTCTGGGCTAGTGTTCTGGTAGTCCAGACTTGAAAACCATGCCACTCTCCTCCTAAGACAGGGCTGGCTGGAGCCGGGGGTCCCAGGGAGCAAGGAAGGAGCCTCCAGACCTCCCTGGGGCCTGGAACTGGGTTTGAGAGGGGAGGGAGTGGGTGTGCACACACCCGCGTGTGCTAGGCTGTCACCACCTCCTCAGAGTTGCATCCTTGGACTTAAATGGGTAAAACAACATACAGGAAATCTGTCCCCCGGCGGCTGTGAGCTCAGCCGGGGAGAGGCAGGGCAGCCCGCAGCCACGGGGCAGGCAGTCGGCGTGCTCTCCCTTCTTTCCCCAGTGCCCCAGTGTCCCGGTGCTCTATAGGCCAGGGGTCTTTAAAGGAAAGCCACTCCTGCACCTCTTTGTCTGAGGTAGGAGCTGGTGGGGACATTGTGTCTTGCCATTGGAGGATCTACCTTCCTGAGGTGTATTCTGGTCTTGGAGTCTCCAGACTCTTATGGCATCCAGGAGCAGTGGGAGGCCTCTTGGGCAGCTGAGCTGGGAGGTTGTTTCATCGTCTGATGGCCCGGCTCTGTCAAGGACCTTGCACTGGGTAGTTTTAATCCACATTAATTTCTCTTCTTTCCTAACTGTGGGGATCCTTGTCCAGGATCTGCCAGAAGGGCTGGGGGGGCGGGGGCTGGGTTTATAGCTAGTTCAGGAGATGAATCTGGATAAATTATAAAGAGGGACACAGAGAGACAACTTCTTCCTTTACTTCCAGAATGTTCTGGCCCTTATGAAAGGTGGCTTTTGGCCTTGCTTGCCCCAGGGCACGTGATCAGAGCCCAAAGTCATGCCTCCTACGGACATTGAGTGTGGGCTTGCCCTGGCTAGGACACCCCCCAATGAACAGGACTGGAATCTTCTGGCTGCATGGCCCTGGTGCTTGTCTCCCAGTAGCAGGAGTGAGGCCAGGCAGGCTCTCGTGTTGGAGGTCCCGACCTCCGTCAAGTCTCTTTGTTTCTTCACCTACAAAATGAATGGGTTGGCTTCAGTCAGCATTTCTCAACTTTAGAATCCAATCTTGAAAATCTTAGCGTCTCCGCACACAGCCTCCTCGTATTTTATACAGTGAATCCCCACTGCAGTGATCCCACTTGTGTTCAGCTTTCCATTGTATAGTTTGTATCTAAAAATAACCTTTTTTACTGTTCCTTTATCTTCCGCATGGAAAATTCCACAAATTCCATGTTTGCTTTTGCACGTTCTATCTGTTTCCAAAGCTTCAGCTGCACCTTTCTGGTCAGAAATCCCTGAATGAGACTCTCCCTCAGTTCCAGGCCTCTGGCTCAGAGGACAGGGTAGAGACTCGGGAATGTCCCCTTTCTGTTTGCCTGTATGCTCTATTTTCTGTCCCCAACAGAGGCTTGTTAATTTACCACTTCCCTTTCCTCATCTCCCCAAAGTTGTGTCTTACATGGGCTTAGGAGTTCAATTCAGCAAGGGCTGATCCTTCCAGTGCTGGGGGCTGGGCCCTGGTGACAGAGATGAGCCTTCCTGCCTGGGAGGAGGGGATATGCTAGTGCTCTCCCTCTCACAGGAATAATGAAATGCAGAGTGGGTGGTCAGTGCAGCAACAGACGTGGGGGGATAGAATCAAGGATGACCAGTACAAGCTTCAGGGCTTGGGGGATTCTGGCAGGTATGCTTGGAAGAGGTGGCAAGGTCCAAGCCAGGCCTCGAAGGATACAGAGGTGTTAAATCAAGCCAGGAAGAGGGAATTGCATGAGCCGATCCCTGCACTGCCCTGCCCTTTATTGACCATCCTTTGTGATAGACCCTTTGATACCCATCTCTTTTATTCTGCCAACCGGTGGCAAGCAGTCCTGGTTCTTTTCTCAGTATGGAAACTGAGGCTCAGGCAGGCAGCAATGCCAGAGATGGCTCCCTGGGCTTTCCAGAAACACGAAGGATTATTAGTAACCTCAAATTGGCAAAGACCAAATTGCTGGAGCACAGTTTCTCAACCGCAGCACCATTGACATTGGGGCTGGGTTATTTTTTGCTGTGGGGGCCGTCCCACAGGATATCAAGCAACATCCCTGGTCTCCACTGGCTGGACGGCCAAGAGCATACACCCCCTGCGTCGTGACCACGAAAAATGTCTCCAGATGTGGCTGTGTCTCTCAGGGCCCAAGAACCCCCGCTCTGTAGTGAAATCTGGTTACAACCTGAGGCCTACCTCTGCCTCAGTGGGTCTTTGGTGTTTGGTCAGCTCCCAGACAACTGCTGCCAAGGGCAGGCACGTGGGGGCAAAGCGGCCGGCAACCGAATTCTGCCATCTGGTCAGTTCTTAATCTAGAGTCCTGATTTAAAAAAAAAAAAAAGAGGCAGCACTGGGAAAGGACTGAGGGGGGAATTAGGCAGCACGCCCCCAGAATGGGCAGCAGAGGAGGGACGAGAGGTGAGCCAGGGCCATCTTCGCTCACGGGGACAGCAGATGCCATTGTCTTTCTCTTTGTCTTACAACTGACCTGGATTTCTGCAGGAACCGTCCCTCGGCTCAGAACACATTGTTGCTTTTCTTCCGAGATTAGAGGTATTAGATTCTCTTCTCGAGAGCTACTTTGGGGGTGGCCCCAGATCATTGTGGCTCCTAAAGCCACATTATCTTCTCCCGTTCGCCCTCACGGCTCCAGACGCTGGCCGCTCCTCGTGCACAGACTGTCTAACTTTTGCTCGTCATGTGTCCTCCCCTGCTTGTTCCCCAACCAAGACGTTGCGCTGCTGTAACTCCGTGGGAGGAAACAGCACGTTCTGGGGCCGCCCGACCCCTTCTGGACATTGCCCTCCCCCACCAGTCCCCATCCACCAGCCCTTTGTGTGCCCAGCATCCCCAACCAACTGTGCCAGGCAGCCCCTGCTCGGCAGCCCCTGCTTCAGCCTCCCCGCAGAGCAAGACAGGCCCTTCTCTCTGCCCTCATCCGGAACGGACAGAGTCGCAGAACAAAGGGCTCTGTCTGAGCATCACCGGGTCCCCGACGGGCCCTGTCACTTCACCTCTTTTCACTTTGGCCCAGCAAGGGCTTCGGAGATTAGGCATGTCTCAGAAACACAGCCGATGAGCTTGGGTTCTACTCATTTCCTCGTCGAGACTTTCTGAGCCCATGCCCGATGATAAATAAAGTAGTGATTCAAAGGTTCAGCCTGCGGTTTAGTCGGAGCAATGAATAAGCTGTCCGGTCTGACTCACTCGTTTATAACCCAGCTCTGCCCTGCTCCATGGGGTTGTATGTGTAAGAGGGGACCCAGCCACGGGCATTGCATTACTGTCACTGCTGAGTGGAGGAGTCTCCCAGGGCCACTGGGACAAAGAAGCACAGACCCCGCAGCTTAAGCATCAGGGATTTATTGTCTCGTGGACCTGGAGGCCAGAAGTCCAAGATCAAGGTGTTGGCAGGGCTAGTTTCTTCTGAGGGGAGCATCTGTTCCAAGGCCTCTCTCCTTGGCGTGTAGTCGGCCGTCTTCAAGATCGTCCTCCTTCTGTGCCTGTCCGTGTCCGAATCTCCTCATCAGGACACTAGTCCTGTTGGATCAGGCCCACCCTAATAACTTCATTTTAACTGAACCACCTCTTTAAAGATCCTCTCTCCAAGTACAGTCACATTCTGGGCTGCTGGTGGGTAGGACTTCAACATAATGAATGGGGGAGTGGGGGTGAGGCGAGACCCGCTTCAGCCCCTAACACTGGGTAAGGGACAAATTTCGTTTTTATTTAGTGAAGAAGTTTTGGATAAACAGTTGCACCAGTAGAGTTCATTTTGTTTAGTCTTACTCATTTAAATAAACATCTTAAGGGCGGTGGGCAAGTTGGCCACATCAGCTTTGGAAGCGTCCCGTTAGGAATCTTCCAGATCTCGCACATGTCCTTACGCTTGAGATGACGATAGAGAGGCAAGGACCCAGCTCAGCGGGGAGTGGATCTCGTGTGACTTTACAAGGGGTGTATTTAGAGCC